ATAAACATTTTCATTCATTTGTTAAACATACAATTACTTCCATTACAACCCGGTCTTAGGGATGCTAGAAGCGCGAATTCATATAAGGTGGTGTTACCGGAAAATGAATGAAATGAATAAATAAATTATATTATATCAGAAAATTAATAAGATGAAATGAAATTATTGTTTGATTTCTAACCAAAGCTATGTATATAACTCAATCGCCTAAAGGTTTGCCGAACCGTAAACATATGTTTACATATCCAATTTCGTGAGTAGGTTCCTGGTACTCACACCTTTTTAAGAAGTTTCACTTCTATCATGTGAACGGTGTTACACACGCTTTTTTTTATTATCTGAAAATTTGATAAAAAAGAGCCTAATAACATTAAAAAACAATATCGCAGTATGCAGGGGCGGCGAAACGCCCTGTGTCCGGGTGGGTAGCTCTGCTGGTGGCAAGAGTATAGAGGAAAAGAAAATAGGTGGCCGATGTACATAATTCAGAAGATTAAAAGATTTCATTAGAAAAACTTATTGTTTCGTGTATATAGGGTTGCCAGATTTTTTATGCACGAAATCAGTACGTTAGACTTTTTCATGCTAAAAAAATCAGTACTTTTTAGTACACTTTTATTCCAAGCAAAATTATGAATGTAAGTAAAAGAGAATGCTTTAAAACGCGAGACTACTTGTATTTAACAATATTTTGGTATAAATAAAATATATTTCATAAAAAATGTTTTAAATTAAAATATTCATAATACAATTTTCGAACCTATACTGTATAAATAAGTACCTAAGCTTCCTAAAAAGCTTTAATATTTTAAAAACTATTAGTTATCGTTGAAATCGTACAATAAAACTTCTTTGAGAAATACTTTCTTAGCTTTTTAAAAAATAATACTAAGAATTTTGCTTTAAACCGTATTTCTGCAATTTAATTTTTGGCGTACTTCTTGTTTACTATGATGTATAGAATATTAAAATTTTTGCATTTTTCTTATCCCAAACTTCTTTTTGTATATTTTGAAGTTAGGTATTCTGTGTTTTGATGAGAATTACTTATGAAGTTAATTACAGAAAATCGGATTTGCGGAACATATCGAGTTCTTAAAGAATTAATATACTGACTTTTTTTAACTTAAATTTTCATAGCGTATAGCTTTTTCTAACCTTTTTTAAAAACGAATTTAGCTGCGCATTTTGCGGTCATCTGTTCACACTGCTTCTTATGTTAGTCCTGTTCGCACTCTCTTCTCTCCCAATTTGCCAAACGACGTCGTAATGACGAATATTTGCTTTTTTCCAAAGTTCATTGTTTTTCTATACCATTACTTATTGAAAATGTTTGCGTGTATACTTGCATATGTATATGTAAGTAAAAAAATTTAGCTTCCATTTTTAGCCACAACGACATTTTTTAGCTCTTTCTTAACCTTTTTTTGGAATTTGGCTACCACTAAAAATTATTCGCGGCAACACTGCTTGCTACCCATGCATGCTTCTACTTTGCAATGGGTGCTCTCGTACTCTTCGAAATTTGGAATAGTATTTTTGCATTTCGTGCAATCCGTGCATCGTGCAAGACTTCGAGAATACCCCTATTGTCTGTTATAAGTCTTTGATAGGAGTACACCTGCATGACATTATCACCAGTGTCATTGTCAGCTATATGTCGTTTAGGATTCACAGCAAGTGCGACGATGTCACTAAATCCTCATTAATGACGATGTCACCACATTTTCGCCACTGTGTTTCTTTAAATACGCACTACATTAGATATTACATTTACAATTATTACATATAGATTCTATTTGCATGTACTTATATACATACATATATGCATAAGTGCATAGTTATTTACTGAAAGGTAGCGCAGAATGAGCAAAAATTTTGCAGCAATAATCATGTAATAACTAAGCTTTGGTTTTACTACGACCTTGCAAAGATGGAAAAATTTAACTTGCCTGAAGTATGTATATGTAATATTGCAGCAGCTTTCTACCTACCTTTTGTTTATTTTCTTCTAATAATTAGGGCCCGTGCCAATCGGTAACTTTTTTCTCCCTGGTAAGACGGGGTGGAAAAATTTGCTATGGTGTACAAATAAATTGAATTTTGCTGTGCCAAATACAAAGTAAAATTTTGACAGTTGAAAAACCATACAAACGCTCGTGCGAAAGCTCTATTTTTGTGTGTTGCTGAAATTCTTAAAATTTATATTAGTTAAACGAGTTAAGAATGCCGTTTAACACAACGCAAGAATGCAC